TCTGCCACAGCACACATCCTGCTGGGAGGGTGTATGAGGGGTTAAAGGGACAACTGATTAATTTGGGGTGTCTTTGTATGTTAAAATATTGATTTGGAGCTATGTCGGCCAATGATGCAGCACAGCAGGAAGGTGTGAGCATGTCAGTGTAATGTATTGGGATGGCTGGATGTCAGCTGCCATGTTTGGTATAATTGTTTCTGCGTAGATTGTCTGGGAATAGATCAAAGAAATGCCAGCAGGCAGTTCATTTGCCTGTCATGGGATATACTGTAGCAGAGGTGTTTGTTAATAAATCCCACACTCATTTACATGTTCTACTCCTACTACAAATACATTGACTTCATTCAGCTTTTTGTGAATTTGGCAAGAAAAATAAGACTGATGTGATAAACGTATTTGTCAGCAACGCTTATGTTATTGATCATCCATATCACTGTTTGGATGATTAGATTTGGTCAGTGAGCCTCACATGGTGCCCTGTCAGGTGATGTCACCTTGCAAGCTACTGCTCTTGCAGACAGGTTGCAGAACTTGTGAGAGAAGTCGGAGACGAAACGGGCTGTCAAAGGCACTTCAGTGTCAGCCGGCTGAGTGCAGTGAGAGAGAAAGTGCCGAACAATGAGGGAGCTGATAAGGAGCAGGGACTCCTCTGACATCTTTATCAGTTCAAACACACTCTCACACCGGGAGCCCAATCTGCTCCATGACTGACTGTAGCCAGGGGAGCGACACCGCCCTTGTAGAAATGTTCAAAAGCTTCATTAAGCAACTCTGTCAGTCCCTTTTACGCTGCAGTGTCGTGTGGCATTAGCGCACAAGTAAGGTACTACTGTGTATGCTCTGTGCTCTTTATTGGCTATAGAGCAAATATCCACTGATGCTGTGTGTGTCCACTTGAGAATGCAAGGCTTGTGCCGTCCTTAACAGAAGTTCTCTGATGGTTGGCTGTAGCCTTGAAGGATGCCCTGCAGCTTGCTTTTCAGCTTTCTCACAGGGGTTTCCAGAGATTTTTGTCTGGTGCTCAGGCCAGTGTTCAGTTATAAAGTCCACTGCTTTTGATAGCTTGATGTTGGCATGGAAACCTTTTTGCGCTACTTACAAAATGGTTGCCTCTGCTGAAAAAAAGACATTTCCACTCAAAGTGAAATTGAGATGTATTTTTGCTGAGGAATAAATACAAATATCTTTAACATTGTATTTATTTTTCTGCTGTAATAGCTCCTTCTATATTAAAGTTTTGCAGGGGGTGTGGATTTTTGGTCCCAAGTGACAAAATGTTTTCACTGGTAATTTGATTGGTGCAATATGTTTGTTGGCAGACACTAAAAATGTTTCATCCTATCACTATAGCTTCTGTGGAGGCCCTTCTCTGCCAATGTGATGAACAAAAAAAAAAAATCAAAGATTCTGTAAGTCTTTATAAGACAAACTTTCTTGAAATAATAGTGTCTCAAAATAATTACTATCTCCTCTATCTATTTCTATTTTAAACAGTCTTGACAAACTTTTACAAAATAATGAGTTAATATCTCAAAATAATGAGTTAATGTGTTGAAATGGTGAGTTGGTATCTAAAATAATGAGTTAGCATCTCAAAATGATGACAAACTTTCTTAAAATGAGTTAGTATCTCGAAATAATGAGAAACTTTCTCAAAATAAAGTCTCAGTGTCTTGAAATGATACGTTAGCATGTTAAAATAATGAGTAAATGTCTCAAAAGAAGTTGGCATGACTTACTTATCTCACAATAATGACTCAATATCTAAAAATTATGAGAGGCTTTCTCAAAATAACGAGTTGATTCATTGTTGTCATTATTGTAAGAATTCTTCTTTCTTACTTCTTTTGAGATAAGTCATTATTGCAAGAAAGTTTCGAGTGTTCTCAGTTCCCAGACACTTAGTGAGTGTTGTTAGAATAAAAGGTGATGGAACACAGTGGTAGACATGTTCCTGTCCCAACTTTTTTTGAAACATGCTGCAGGCATCAAATTCAGATCAAGTGTATATTAACAAAAACAATAAGGTTGATCAGTTTGAACATTTAATATCTTGTCTTTGGACTGTATTCAACTAAACATAGGTTTTAAACAAAATGGATTTGCAAATCATTTCATTCTGTTTTTATGTAAGTTTTACACAGCATCCCAACTTTTTTGTATTGTTGTATAACTAAAGGATAAATATCTTTTAAAGTTAGTTGTAATGAATGCAGTTTTATGCATGTCTTCTAACCGTACACAAAACATCTTTAAACACCAGGTGTGTGATGAAAACAGCATGAAAATCCCAAATACTTACCTGCAAATATTTTCGCTGGCTGTCCAGGTGGTGTCCAGCAAAGATGTGGGTTTCATTAATAATTGGCAAACTTTCTGGGGAAAACCTGGTCTGATTAGGAGAGATGGCATTCATCCCACTTTGGATGGAGCTGCTCTCATATCTAGACACCTGGCCAAGTTCATTAGTAATTCAATACCCTGACAACCCAGAGTTGAGGCCAGGAATCAGAGTCGCAGTCTTACACGCTTCTCTGAGCTTCTAGTGCAGTTACCCACTCATAGAGTTATAAAAACGGTGTGTGTGTGTTCCAACCACCTAAATTATCTAAATCTAAAATTAAACAAAGAGGACTGTGCATAACAACCTCATAAAAATTAAAACCTCTTCTGTGACAGAAAGACAAAACAGGAGAATTAAATGTGAACTGTTAAATATCAGGTCTCTATCGTCTAAAGCAGTGTTAGTAAACGAATTAATATCAGATAATCATATTGATTTACTCAGTCTCACTGAAACCTGGCTGTGTCAAGATGAATATGTCAGTCTAAATGAATCCACTCGTCCCAGTCATAATAATACCCACATTCCTTGAGGCAGTGGCCAAGGAGGGGGAGTTGCAGTCATTTTTATTAATCAGCCCAAAAGCTAAACTAGATTATAATTTCTTTGAAAGCCTTGTTTTTAGTCTTTTACATCTGACCTGGAAAACCTCACAGCCACTTCTGACTTATAGGATATTTCATCCTGATCACAATGACAGAAATGGACTTCCATAAACTCGACCAGTCACACAGTCAGTTAACTGTCTGGGGACCCAACATTTTTAGCCATTAAGACTCATCTTTGATTTGAGAGTTCCCCACATTTTCTCTGTGACTCCGTATGTTAGGCTACTCCTTTGTTGTGATTCGAGTCACTGTGTAGGCTAACACAGAAGAAGCTTAGGTCAAGAGTTTTGACTGTCTGGTCAGTTGCCGTTACCACAGCTGGAGCCATGAAAGAAAAGCAGTAAACCTTCCTTTTTGCAATGTGGGACAAACACAGCACAGAGTGAGTGGGAGCTGACAACACAGCAGGTGTTGAGAAACACTGAAAACACTGAAAAGTAGTGTTTAGTTGGAATCAGTTAACATTAGCTTCTGCTTTCCAAGTGGAGTAATTAGCCTAGCTCGCTAGCTTCCAGGTTTGAGTGCAATACAAAGTGAACAGCAAGATCATTCAAAACGCTGAAAGCTGTAAATCGACAAATGTCCTAAATTACAAATGGTAGAACGTTATGTGGGCTTGTTGAAAAAGTTTTTCTCTTTCAACACTGGCCCTCAGATGTCAGTCAGCCACTGGGAAAACAAAAGAAAGGTACAGAAATTCGCCCACCCTCAGACTGTAGATGCTGTTTTTACAAATGTGTCAGAAAAGATGTTTTATCTTCTTTTGAAAAATGTGCACAATAGTGTCACAGAGGTGAAAAGATTTTAATTTTCAGGGGAAAACTGGTGCTTTTTAAATGATAGTCTACATCTTGATTTATTGAAGAACTGCCGAAAGATCCTTTATATTCTACTTTTAATGAGTGATTGATAAAATGAATGAATCCCTCCAGGAAACAATTTCTTTCCTAAGCATTCACACCAAACACTGGTTCTCTTGTGCTGGCACCACTGTAGAGGTGATGCGAGGTGGGGGGAGCTCACACAAAGCTATGGTATCTGTCAAACGTAAAGTTCTCTTCTTGGTCACAGAGGATACCCTGCCACAGCTTCATGATTAATGGCTGTTTATGGTTTTATCTCGCAGTGGAGAAATAACTTGGAAGTCGGAAAAAAAAAGATATTTCCCCAGACCATCTAATTCCATCTGGTTTCAGCTGTGGTAGTCTGCTATATGATGGGATCAATAGGATTGACAAAGTGCCCAGAAAAAAAGCTGGGTATCTCTGTTTAAGACATACTGATTAATAACCTTTGTGTGTGTGTGTGTGTGTGTGTGTGTGTGTGTGTGCGTGTGCGTGTGCGTGCATTCATTCTGGATATCTGTCTTGAAATCTTCTTTGGCTCTTATGCATTTGCATATGTTGAGTGTTTGTAGTGCATGCATGGCCATAGTATAAGCCTTTGAAAGAGACAGAGAAAGAGAGGATTCTGGGCATTAATCAAACGCTGGTATGAGTATAGAAAGAAGCTTGGGGGGGGGGGTTGCAGGGGCTTCAGAGAGAATGAGCCAAAGCAACAAGGAGTTGTGTCTTCCGATAGCACAAATTTGGCTCCCTCATTCCTTTTGTAAGGCAATTTATAAAACAGATGGCTTTGAATTTTGGTCATTTTATCAAGAGACAACTGCTCTCCTCTTACTAGTTTCCATCTGTTGGTTTCTTCTTTTAGCTGTAGGCACAACTATAATAGAAGAGCAGACCACGACCTGTTTTCCCTCAGGTTCAAAGATGTCCTCGCTGCCCCCCTCCCCTCCCCTCCCCCTTTCCCTGAGTGTGGAGCACATACAGGACCTTTCATCTTGTTCAAAGTAGTTACAGGAATACTATATCAGTGGGGAGCTGAGGAGTGTAAACCTTATAATCAACTTGGAGAGCCCGGGCCACAGTGTACGCTGTACAGTATATTGCACTGTGTAGTTCACTGTGTAGTCATCTAGTGCAACCGTCAGGAGAGCTTCAATTTAAATGTCGTCTCCCTTAATCCTCCCCTCTCCTCTCATGCAGGTGTCAGACAGGTGCGACTATGTTTTTGTGAATGGCAAGGAGATGAAGGGCAAGGTGAAGATGATGGTGAACTTCACCTATGGATACCTGAGCGCTCAGTTGGAGCTCAACGTGTGGATCCCTCGGCTCCCCCTCCAGATTGAGGTGTCAGACACGGAGCTGAGCCAGATCAAAGGGTGGAGGGTTCCCATCATGGCCACCAGCCAGAGGTACAGTGCTGCACACATACTTACACATACACTTACTGTTTTGAAAAGTAACATCATACCTGTACTTATACTCCCTGCCAACAGTAATTCAAAACACTACATCCCATATTGCTTCTCTGAAATTGGTAATTGTGTCCTTTCTCCTGTAGGTGCAGCTATGGCTAGATACTGTAGCTTGCAAATGATCTCTTCTGTTGCCTGTGACCAGTATTTTCCCAAGGGTCTGTCTGAAAGATTAAAGTCAGTCATGGAGATAGGCAACATTTCATCCACCACTTATCCAGCTCACAAGCTTAATTAGTTCTCTGTTGCTTGTGGCCTGCAGCTGTCCACGATTAAAATCCAGTTTTGGTTGTTTAGTCACTGCAGGGCTAAAACCATCCACCGCTGCTGAGGAGGACAGCGGTGTAAATATAGAAAGTGCAGGCGGTGTGTATGCACTGGGGCCCATGGGGTGGGGGGGTTGGGGCCATTTGCTACAGGCTATATACCCTCACAAATGCAAACTCTTCTCTGTCATGGCTTTCTTTGATTTTTTTTTTTTTTTTTTTGTAAAATAGTCAGCAGCAAACTATAATGAAATTGCATGCTTTTTTCTACAGAACTAGAAAAACCATGAATAAACTATATACTATACCATAACCATATATATAGTATATATCAGGGGTGATTGCTCTGAGACAACAAGGGAGGCCGACCTTCCCCTAAAATTTTGTTAAAATAAGAATTTACATTGCATTAAACGTGCACTAAGATGTGTTTAACATCATGACTTTGATGTTGAAATGTCAGCTGTTTATCACCAGTTTTCAAATGCAACCTCCCTGTCATACATTCTTGTGTCAGCACGGTGGATGCGGAGGCTCCAAGCATTCCTATGAGACAGCACTGAGCAGGTTTTTTTCATCCAGCAAAGCGAGATGGTCATTGCATAAATGCGACAAAATAAAATCGTCACTTCCATGGAGGCTCAGCTTCCCTGGGACCTAATGGAGCGGTAGGTGGGAGAGGACGCTCGATGTATGCATGATGATTGGAGGAATTGTCTAAAAGGCTGAACCCCTTTGTGATTGACAGCACTTTGGAAATACACACCAGCATCGTCGCATTTCAAGCTCAGTCCCATGGGGATATTTGCGAGTGGAGTCATCTGACAGAGTGCCGTCCGGAGTTCCTTATTTCTGTAAGCCATATAGCTCATTTTCACAATTTGTACAGTACAGTTCAGGTGTTTAAACCCATCTGAAAATCTTTTATTTCTATGTTAATGTTGCCTAGTGTCAAGTCTCTATTTGATCATGTGACAAGAATACAGTAGGTAGTTTAGGCGTAAAATCGGTCAAGACTGACGAGTACATCTATAAGTCCAGCGAGTTGTCACGCCTTTCTTATGGCCATAAAAGTGGCCGTAAGAAAGGACAAGAGAGAAACAAATGAAAGTGGAAAAAAGTCAGATTCCTTTGGCTTTTTTCATAAACAGTTGCCAATAGTGTACGGGCACCTTATAACTAGTAACTAGCATGCACTGGGGCCTTGGTAAGGACCTTATGCCACTGGAGGAGGGCTCACCTTTGGTTGGGTGCTTCACGTTGTTGTGTTGTCGGTTATAGTAGGTGTTTCAGGCAGTTTGAGGTTGTGTTTTTCAGAGTGGAAAGAGTCTTAATACCACTACCTGGCACAACGACATTCTTATCATCTTTCCTCCTGACGAAACCAGAGTAATAGGAATATTTCCAGCCGCTGAATGGAAGCGTTTCCATCTTCGTTTTGTGACATCCATACACACCAATGACAAAAAGAGAATCCAAAAAACTGATTGACTGTTGGATTTTAAATTAAAAGGGGGTTGACAACGAAAGTAAGGTTGTAATGACTTATTTGGTTTTAGGGTGACTGTAATATTATAACTGAAATTTTATTAGTAATTTGTTTTTCTACTCATTACTGGGAAAAGTAATATTATAACTGCGGCTTTTAATAGTAACACTCAACACTGTCAGTTACAGGGCATTCTGGTCTCTTAGGTCTTCCCCTTTAACAGACTCTGATTAAGTATCCTGTATCTTATTCACTATCTCTCAGGATCAGATTAAACCAGAGAAATAAACTAATTGGAAAGTATTTGTTTGGTTAATTGGATGGACTATTAGTTGGCTCAGTCTTTACTTTACATTTACTTGTTTTTTGTCTCTTTGCATAAAAATCAACATTCTGCCAAGGGCTCATTTTCTCTCTTCAGTTTTTTTGTGTCATCTGCCGTGCATGTGTAATTCAGGCAGAATTTCCAATTATCCATTGAAACAGCTTTAGGGTCATGCCGCAAATGTTAATTTGAGTCGATCCAAGTTTGATTTATAAATACACTTTTTTTTGTTTCGCCAACAATAGTGCTTCGCGTCTCTCCTGTTGGTATCACATAAAGATCAAGATCAAAGTCCTTTGTCCACTTCTGCAGCAGCGCTGGTTTCATTTAACGAATAGCCTTTATCCCAAGTGATGTATTCGATTTCAATCATGGCAGCATTAGATAAGATAATGATGAGACGTGTGACTGAACACCACTCCACCTGTCTCCTCCTGACTTCAGTCCTGCTGACAGTTCTTGGCTGATAACAAAATGGCTGACCTGTGCAATACAGCTTGTCATTACGACCGGTTTAAGGTGGCCTGCCATTTTGCCTCTTAGTCGTCAGTAGAACAGAACATTATTAGAGCTGCCTGGAGGTCAGACCTCTCCCCAGGGGCCTCATCACTAGCAGCACCTCTGCCAACGCTGCTGTGCATTGCTTCTCTGCAACTGTTGAAATCCATCAATTGATGGAGCGGCTATCAGCCTACCTGCAGTAATTACTCCTGGAAAAGCGTTGAGGTTGGACTTGGAGTCATCCCACGCACTAGTGTGGCTACTCTAATTATCCCTGCTCCCCTCTTATTTTGACTGACAGAGGTACAGCATTCAACTAATGCCATGGCTTGTCGAGGATGTTGCTCTCCCAGCTGTGCGCTGGTACGCCTTTATCAGCGGGGACAGGCCGAGTTGTGTTGTCATTGTTGACGCTGGCGCCACTGCTGATGGACAGTGAAGAGCTTTGTTTCTCTCCGTCTTTCACCCGTCTTTGTTTATCAGGGGATAACAGGCGTGACCTTGCAAAGTAGCGCTATGCCTGTTGGTGAGAACGGGCATCGGTCCACCGTCCATAAGCCCACAAGGAAGTGAGCTGCTGAGCGACAGTGGCAGGGCCTTCCTCTATCAGCTAGACTGGCAAGTCGGGGCCACATTGGAGGGGGGGAGAGAAATGAGAAATAAAGAGACATCAGGCATGTAAGTTGGATAGTTTCAAAAGTACTCTTCACACAGTTTTTGACTGGCACTGCCTTATGACTCACCTCTTCCTTCCCTAAACCCTGTCAAAACAGGGACAAGATAAGCCTTTGCAGACAGCAAACCTAAGTGTAGGCGTAGCACTCAGGCAAGCATCACTCCTTTAACATGTCTTTCAAGATATGTACATCAAGATTCCTTTCCCCCTTGTTTTATAGTGTTTAAAAAATATCTTGCAGTTAACTTTCAATATTGAGTTGGCTGTTCTCTTTCTACTGTAAAACAAACTTGCGCTTGAATTCCCTACAAGATCCAAACAATGAAAAAAACAATCAAGCACTGTCAGCGAGAGCTGCATATAGAAGCAGCACTGCCTATTTCCGTCCAAATGACCTTCGTCATGTTATTGTAGCAGAAAATAAAATGCAGCAAAATGCCAAAACAAGTACAGGCACACAATCCACGGGGCACAACAAAAATAAGCATGACACACACACACACACACACACACACATTAATATGCAGCATCTCCTCTGAAGTCAGAAGTGGGCTTGAAAGTGAATGAAGCGGAAAGAAAAATTGCTTTGTGAAGCAGGTTGTTCTCGGCGCTGAGTGTGATTTGTTTATTAGATTAACCTTAGATTAGATTTTGAGATGGCTGCACAAGCAGTGGCATATCAGATTTATACCGCAGCTAAAACGGTTGGACTTCACTATCAGCTTGTTTACTCCTGAATCCATTACATCTGACTAATACCTGCATGTATAAATGTCCTTATAAATATACTGTTTAAACGCTGATTCAGTCAATATGTCAGCACATACTCCTGTAACATCAGTGCCATTTGTCAAGTCATTGGCCGTGAATGTCAAATAACAAATTGTGTTTACGCTCAAAATACTCACAATATGATTCAAAAGGATTTAACCAAAGCAGTCAGTGGTGAGAAACTTTCAATTACTGCTGTTGGAATAATTGGAAGATGGTGACTGAAATCATTGGCAGATGGTTTTCTCCTTGTGCATGTAAAATGTAAATGAGTGTAGAGACAGTAGAGAACAGGAATTTATGAAAGGAGAACAGAAATTTAAAAGATAAATTCAAACGCAAAACGAATGTTTGATCACAAGAGCATGAATCACAAACCTTGTTAGTCAGTTGGAATGAGAAATGTATCTGAGAAAATGCTTTGTTTTATGCAGAAGGTAGTTATTTTGTTTATATGTGAATTTGAAGGTTGGCCTTTAATTAGTCATTGTGGAGTAGGGTAACCCAGGGAAGGGAGCTCCAAGCATTTGGTAGGTGTAAGAATATTACTGACCAGAAGCACTAGAATAACCCTGTCCTCGTCCGGGATGTTGATGCTGTGTTCCACTTCTGTGTGAAAGATGACATAAAAATCAGAAGTGGAGGAGTTAGCATTCATGAATATGCATCAAATGTGTCATGTAGTGTCCACTTAGGCACATCCGATCTGCTATTTTAATCTAATGCGACAAGCGTTTTTAAAATAGTGTTAAAAATGTAACTTGGAAGTGTGAATACAAATCACAGACATGTTTGCAGTGATATGCAGGACAAACAGCAGATCTACAAACTTATCTGCAGACATCCATCCAAGTCTGATATGGTACAGAGATAAGACTTGGAGTGAGGACACAAGACTGATATCCATTTATTCCCACTTCCTGTTGTCTGCTCCCAAAACTACAGTGAATCTGACAGTGTCCTTATTCATGATATCTTTCAGTTCCAAACTGGACCACATGGATATCAGATACTCCAGCAACCCTGGTCCCTGGGCAGCTTGGCCATGCTAGCAATAACAGCCCTGAGAACTAATTTTCTCAATCAACTTCTTACTATTAGTCATGAGATTCGACACGGGCACAATATTTTCTGCAGGTTTTGGTTATTTGACATTTGAGATTCCTGTTTTTCTCACTCCATCAGCTTTTGGTCTGACGAAGGTAAGCCTCTGGGAACAACAGCCAATATTTTGAGAGATCCAGTGTAGCCAGCAGATATCTGACCATGATATCGACTAGTCTTTATGAACAGATATGGGCACATGAATGCAGATATATTTTTAAAAAGCTATTAAAAAGCTGACTCACCATCAGATGATAGCTGATGGGTTGCGAGATTGCATTTCGGCCAATGCATTTCACCTCTCCACATGGACGGTTTGTCTGCCGCTTAAACGTAATTGGTTAATAGAACGAATCCCTGTGACGTCACACCAACACTTTGGGGTAGACAACTGGCAATCCTTCTAAATTGCGGAGATATCTGAAATCATCAACTTGTTTCTGTCACCTTTTTTAGTCATTACTGTCACATTTAACGATATATTGTTAAACACATTGGTCTGACCTATCTGACATTTCTGCTGTGCTTATGTTATGTACTGTGTTGCTTTTCTGATTCAGGTAGATTTGGTTTATCAATGTACTGCTGTGAATGGGGGCTGCATCAAAATACATTTCAGTCACCTAAAAAGACCCACTTAAAAACAATTAACAATCAGTTTAAGTGTACACTTTATCTGAAATATGTTCACTGCTTTACCATACATACCAACTGATCAAGGCAGCAGTAGACCAGCAACTTCCATGTGTTAAAATGACTGTTTTTGTCAATGTAGTCTGGTGACTTTGAGATAACGGCTTCAGTTTCCTGTAGTACAATTTCACCCATGCCCAAACCTGTGAATTTATATATTTATGTACATATTTTTACCTGTTACATAGCTTTTTGCGGGTACCTGCACCGGGTTGGGTTATCATCAATTGAAGTTATCATCAATGTATACATTGTGATTCAGGCTACCTCCTACTGGAACTACAAACAGAAACCAAATGCTTCCAATGCCAAAATCTTGTCCCTCTGCTGAAAGTTTCAATTATGAATATTTTGATATGATATTAAGGGTCTTTAAGGTTGCAAGAATTACAATAGAGAATATAAAAACAATAGGTTTTTTATTTGGACACCACGGTTCAGTCAAAATTCAAGCTTTTATCAAAAATGCCTGGATCACTAAAGGTTTTCTTTCAGTGTTCCTACAATACCCACAGTAGAACATCTGTCATTAAGTTGCATGTGAAATCGGCCCTGCCAGCGAAGGTTTAAAGCCCTTAACTCCAAATCTCACTGTACTCACAGCTTTTCTCTGGAGCATGCAGCTAACATCTTTATTCCCACGGCTTCGCATGCCGTCAGATTTCTCACGGGATTCAGACAGAAAAGAGACAAGCAGAGCGGATAATCTCAAGAAAAACAGTTTAAGAGATTAATTTATTTTCTACCCTTTATCATGATCGCAACCTTTGCTAGTGCGTGTGAGAGAGACAGAGAGAGAGAGAGAGACAGTGGAACAAATGGCGATTATTAGACAGAAAGGCGTGTGTGAGCCTACAGTGCAGTATATGATTAGTAGTTTTGCTGACAAAGCACTCTTCTGTTTTAAAGTGTCCCAACTGTGCCCCAGTGTAAGACTGAAGAGCTGTAACAGCATTTATTCTCCCAGATCAACCGTTCAAACATTGCTCTCTCAATATCTTATGGTGCTTCATCTGTTGTTTGTTGAAGCAAAATAAAAAAAAACAACAGTTATGAGCAAAATCTAATGATATCGCAGCTATGTTGTAACCATTTAAACCCAGTTTGTCATACTGAAAGCAATTTTCCTGGTGAGAAAGAGCTGAGCCTCTGTTGGCTGATTTGTTGCCTAAAGTAATAAAATTAGATTTGCTAGCAACAGAGCAATGAGGGAGGCTATTAAGTAAAGCAGTAAGGAGGTGTATGCACATTCACAACCCAGACCAGGTGCTCTGGAATGTTGAGGGAGAGACACTGAAAAAGAGAAATGATAGCCATACGCTGGATTGATCCTCTCTTAGAGGTTTAATCAACAACATTGCATCATTACTTGATCTTTGTCGGGTAAACATCCCTGTGTGAGTTACACTGCTGTATGTGTGTGTGTGTGTGTGTGAACGTTTGACAGAGATCAGTTAAAGTTAAATGCTGCTGAAAATACCACAAACCACACATCAATGCAGAGCTGATATTTTCTCTTCTCATCTATCAAGTATTTATTTAGCAAATACAGTGTGTGCATATGGCACAGTTATTTTAGATCCTGCCTTTTTTGGACTGTAACACAGAAATAACCACCAAGTGCCTACAATTACGTTTTAGAATGTTATATAGCTTGACATGTGAACTTTCTGCAGTGTTTTAATTGAAATAGCATTCATAATGAACAAAACTAAGAGTCTACAGTCTATATTAATGGCTCTATGCTAATATCAGGATGCTAACATGCTCAAAGCAGGCCCCCAGGTAGTGCACTAGGCTTTGAAGCCACTTTAGTAGGGGCCAAACAGTGTAATTGCATCCGTCATGGGATAACCTGTGGCCCAAAAATAATTATTCCATTGACTTAATATGGAGGAAGAGATCTCTGTACATAAGCAGATACATTTTTGGAGCATTATAACCCCTGCGAACTAACTTGTTTTACCATAGAGATTTTGATCCATTTAGTCTGATTACAATTGGAAAGTCTATTAGAGCTTTAAAATGGAATCATTTTATCCCCATTCAGGTTACAGGAGCATTAAACTCGAAGTATAGCCAGCTCAGCCGCCGGAAATCTAGTAGTATACAGCACCTAAGTAGTATACAGCAGTTGAACCATTTTGGCCTTATGTGCCACTGAGCAACTTTCATAGGATTGAATAGGGCCTCGCCTCCAGCGCTGTATCCAGTTTTCGTCATACATCCATGGCTCAAAGTGATAACATTAGCATGCTAACATGCTCAGAGTGATGATGCTTACAAGCAAATTTGAAGCGGATGTAATGTTTACCATGTTCACCATCTCAGTTTAGAGTGTTAGCATGCTGAACTTTCCTAATTAGCCTTTAATACAAAGTACAACTAAAGGTGAGGTGAATATCAGTAGTTTTGCAGTTCAACATTTTGACCTGATGATGGCACTAGATGAAAAATCATTAGCTCACCCTGAGGGGGACGTGAATATCTGCACCAAGTTTCATGGCAATCCTTCAAGTGGATGTTGAATAATTTCACTCAAACCTACAAATATTGAACTAGTGGTGGCGCTAAAGGAAAAGTTGGGATCAACAGCATTATTAGGAGTCATCCTCTGGGCACCATGACTGTTTCCAATCCATCCAACAATTACTGTAATTATTGTAATGTAACTTTTTATTTTTGTCTTACTTGTTGCTAGGTCCACACGGGACAGTGAGGACGAGGATGATGAGGACAGACGAGGACGGAGCTGCACCCTGCAATACCAGCACGCCATGGTCAGAGTCCTGACCCATTTTGTAGCAGAGTCAGCTGATCCCCGAGGCCAGACCAGCTTCATGCTGGGCACTGATTGGCAGGTGGATATCACAGAGCTGGTCTGGGACTTCCTGAAGGTGGAGGACTCCCAGATTGCACAGCTATTGGACAGAAGGATACTGGTGGGACTGGACATGGGGATGACCACTATCCAGGTAGGCCATGTGTTAGCTCTAGAGGGTAACTACATTAAGAGTTCCTCCAGTTTATTAAAGCTAGGGTCTTTTTTTGATGGTTTTGGACATCATTCCTATTGATAATAATAAATTGTGTTTACCAAGTTAATTGCCCAGATCTAGAATTGCGGCAACATAGCTAAAATGAAGCTGACATGACAGTTGGTCGTTCAAAGAGGTTTTAAACAAGTCTTCAGGTTAGCCAAAACGTACTGTTATTACCTAAACTGTACATGCACACTATGCCTATACATGTACATATATGTACAAAGTATATATGAAACCTATTAGAAATCAGAACTTCATATATAGATTTATGTCTAATCCATACAGTTGTGTATGTTTATGTATGCATATGACTTTTATTGCCATATATGTCATACATATAACATATCGGTATTCCTATAAATATATAATACACAAATTAAACACATATATAAATTCCATTTATAAGAAACATAATGTGTACATGTTCCATACACTTAGTGACACTTTGCAGACATATATATGTTATGTATAGTGTTTGCATTTTCTCTGGCTTCCTCCCACAGCCCAAGGACATACAGGTTAGGTTAATTCATGACTTTAAATTACCCGTAGGTGTGAATATGAGCATGAATGGTTGTCTTTCACTATATGTCAGCTCTGTGATAGTCTGGTGACTTGTCTAGAATGTACCCCACCTCTCACTGAATGTCCCTCTGTGACCCTCAAGAGAATAAGCAGTTACTAATAATGAATGAATGAGTGAATCACACATGTATGTCAAAAGTTAATTTAAAAAATAATATCTAAGCATACATCAGTCTTGATGGAGGGGCAGATATGTCATATATTATATTTCCATATGAGCATTTACTTTAATGTTGTCATAATTGATAGAAATGATGGCTAAAACTGCAAAAATAAGACCAAAATTGTAACAAACCTGAACTATTATTTAGCTCGGCAGTGTCCTCTAAATTTGAAAGTCTTTAAAAAAAGATCATAATTGGTAGCCTTCATCTCAGGCTTGCACCATTGTTAAAGATACAGCTGCTAGGGTGCCCTAGCAATTTTAACATCCCACTTGTGCTAGTGCTTCCCACATTAAGACCATATTTCCCATGAACCCTGTTGTGTCCGATCTCAAAGAAGGTCTAGCCACTTGTCCTTCTCCCCAGCAACGATTTGAAAAAAAGAAAGAGGACAGTCCAGAAGCAGCTCTTGCTGACAGTGAATATAAATTCAGTTATTCAACCATCTGCCATTGTGAGAACCTCTTAAAGGTTCAATCTGCTTCTGATCTTGTGACATCAAGTCATTGTACAGATTTCTTCCAAAATCTCATGATGTAAAATGCAGTGCAGAGGGCACTGGATGCTGTTGATGATCCGGGCAAAGATCTGCTTTAGTAATTACATAATATAATGTGGCAATTATTCTGATGTCTAAAAATTAATATGGTAATGATTTAATCGCTGATAAAGTATCACCAAATTGGAAACATTAAAAGTATTTGATTTATTAAACTAAAAAAATATATCCACCATATGTATTTGCATGCTGTGAACACAAGTACATGTTAGAATAATAAACTGTAGGAATTTGAACATATGGTTTATTCCAGTGACAATAACAGATGCCACTGGTATGACTTGTACCTCCTTTTGTCTAGTGCAGACAGGTGCTCACTGGTGTGTCACAGCCTGTTCTGCGGGCTCTCAGCAGTGAGTGGGTCCTCCCCCTCGGCCCTTTGGTTTGTCATGCTGTTCAGGCTAACTGGATGAATATCAGCCTCCTAATGGCATCAGTGTGAGTGGGATCTGCTCCCTGGTGTCGAGGACTCATCTGTCTGTCTGTGTGCAGACGTGTCTTCAACTTCGTGAAAACATCCGCGCGCTCACAAAACAAGCACGAACCAGAAAACATGACGCAAAGGTCTGACAGCTGTGCCACGCGCCACACAGACTGATGCACGAGGAGAAGTTTATAAAGATATGCAGGCAAAGAAAGTCCCACATGCCACACATGGCATTCATCATAAATACAGTTAGACTTCCTGCTTCTGAATTGGGGTTAAAGTGTGCCTTTCCACTGGATTACTAGTATTAATCAAAGGGAATGGATTCTTACCTACAGGAGGTACTGGGGCTGGGTGGCAGCCAAGTTCCAGTTGTTGTTTGATCTACACAGCCTGAGTAAAGAGATAAAATAAAAAGTAGGTTTTGCATATTGCGCAGGGGCTCCTGTGCCTTTTATGTTAGATGAAACACTTTTCTTAAATCACCTATAACTCGTCTTAATCCGCTTTTTTTCGTGTCTTTGACATCTCCTCTGCTAAGTGCTCATTGATGTGATGCTTTTGCATTCGACCTGAAAGGAATCCCTTGTCAATCAAGTCGTGTGACCAGCGTTGATATATTTCTGCTCCCGGATATCCTCTTGATGAAGTTTCTATAGATAGTTTTTTTTCTCTGTTCAGTTATGTTTGCTCTCGCTGCTGATTTCTCCTGGGAAAGACCTCCCCAACCCTGGGTGTTGAGAGCAGGAAATGAAAAGGCTTTCATGAGCAGGCAATACAATGGGTTGAGTCACTATTGTAGAGTAGCACAGCTATAATTGATCGTACCAGAATGTCACAAATTATTGCTTGGCAATCATGTATTTGAGGGGAATGTTGTGGAAGAAAATCAAACTCTTTAACTTTTCCTTTTAAAGGTTCTGTATATGACATTCAAAGCATAAATACAGCAGCAAACAAATATTTGCCATGTAAAGATATAGTGGAGTAATGGCCGATGATAAAGTCACGCTACTTTTGTGTTGTAATCCGAGCTTCTCTGTTTGTTGTTGTGGTAGAAACAGCATTGTCCTTAAAGTGTAGTGCCCACCCTTTGGTTCCCCCCTACATTACCACTGTTCATGCTGTTAGCGCCAGGTGCTAACCAACTTAGCCATCTCCATGTTGAGAGCCGTGTGCAGACAATCCCAGCTCAGACTCTGAATATGAGTGTGTTACATGGACATGAATAACCTGTTTATGATTGGGTTTTTGGAGTGTCGTGTTTATGTATTTGGGCATGTAAACACCATATCTCATTTTCAAAAACCTTGAGAAGACCTTATCATGCATATGAGAAAGCTGAATATGCTACCTGGAGTACCCTGAAAGAAACTGGGACACTGTTGCATGTAGACACCTTGTCCCAGTTACTGGGTGCCACTGACTACCTGCACAGTCATAGCTTTAGCCAAGTGATGTAAAAGAACCAATGACAGCAGCTTAAGCAGTATTGTCTTATGGCAATGAAAGAGGCCGCTTTTCTTCACCTACTGCTTCCCTTTTTTACGCAGTGGTAGTGACAGTGACAGGCTGACACTAGTGTATAGGACAGTGTGATAGCATAAGCATAGCTCCTCTCAGAAATAATGTTAGCTCATTACATAATTTGTGTATGTGGTTGAAAGAGACGGTGATGGTCTTTTTTTATTTGCTGTCTTCTGCCCCTCCCAGGTGTTGTCTCCTTTGTCAGACTCAATCCTGGCAGAGAAGACTATCACAGTGGTGGATGACAAAGTGACCATCACAGAGTTGGGGGTCCAGCTGGTGACGGGCCTCTCCATGAGCCTGCAGCTCAGTCCAGGAAGCAACAGAGCCATCCTGGCTACCACGACCACACAGGAGATTCTGCAAAGCCCCAAACAGGTCGGGATACTCTACATAAATTATACAAGTAGGGCTGCAGCGCTTGGTTGATTTATCGAGTAATTCATCAACATAATTTAATCAGCAGCTATTCTGATGATCCATTAATCGATTAAGTGATTTTTCAAGCCAAGAGTCTAATCGTTTGCTGGCTCCAGCTTCTCAATGTGATTATTTGCTGCTTTGCTTTGTCATATTTATAGCAAACTGAATATCTATAGGTTCTGAGGTGTTAATCAAATAGAACAAGCGATGTGATCATCACCTTCACATTTTTGACATTTTACAGACAAAACAATTACTCTATTAATTGAAGAGATATGGATAATGACATTAATTGTTGCAACTCTATATATAACAGAGCTGAAGTGCAGTTTGAAATAAAAATAAGACGTGAATTGAGCTTTGCTTAATAGCTCATGTCTGTCTTAGCCAGCACGGTTGAATACAAAGCCTCTAATCTATTAGATTAAAAACAAAGACCAGTAATTATTAGCAAACACAATTTAGCCAGGTCTGATTAAGACAGAGAATGATGCTAATTAGTTTTACACCAGTAATTATTATCTCTTTGCACATTCATTTTTTCCTCAATGGTTTAATAGCCATTTGATGAAAGACAGACTTTTATATATCTACTGAAGCCAAAAAATGTGCATTCTGCAGCCGTGATTACTGTGCTTTTCAAAACAAAAAACTTACTTCCAGATTCCATTTCACACTATCATGGTCCTTGAATGAGCAATTTTACAATCAAAGAAAGGTGTGAGTGCACATGTGCTTGTGTACTCGTGTCTGTTTGTTTGTTGCACACCATCCCTAACCCTCTTAACTCCAAGGCCTGAAAGCCAGAGTGTGACAGAATGTGTTTCCTTGGGCAGCTAATAGAAACGGGAGCTTAATCTCAGAGCATGCAAAGCAACACCACAGCGTCTGTACCAAAATATGACTTACAGCCCAAACTTGGCCGTTCTGTCATACTTTGCTTCCCTTTCTCATTTGCCCTGGCTACTCTCATTGTGGCCCCTTTGATCTGCCCATCATGCCCTCGCACAAGTTCTCTGAACTGATCCTTTACACTCCACTCCCTCCCCCTCCTCCTCCTCCTCCTCCAACTAAGGAAGGATAGGAAGGCCATTTATCTACCCTATCTCCACGTGCAGACTGTGAAGATAAGCAGGCAGCGCTGCACTGTAAGTCCTCTGGTGTCAGTAATTAGGGAGCATTGACAGACCACTGTGGGGATCCGCCTTTGGGTATTTGTTCTTCGGCAACATTAAAAGGCAAATTATGGAACTGCAGTAGGGGAAGGCCTTAAGATGCCTATGTATGGCAAATCCTCACTCGCATATACAATGTTTAATGTAACTGTTTGATCTTTCCGTCTATCTTCCAATCTGCATCCCTCTTCAGTTTAGAAAGAATAGCTGCTGTGATAGCACAACTATGCAACTTAGTGAGCTTGTATTGGACCTAAAATGTCTCCCGCAGTTATAATGCTCCATGGTTATTGTGAGTCTCTGAATGCATTGATAAAAGGAACATTAAATGCAAATAATTAGGTTCTCATTTTTACCAATTCATTACACTCCTGAGAGTAAAAGCCAGGGGCAACAAGCAATGGGATATTACACAATACCTGAACAACATCTAGTTGATGCTCTAACTATCTGACAAAGAGCCTTTGCAATTTCAAAATAGTTTCAGTGCTAATATATTGAAAACAATTTGATCTGTTGCAGTTTGCCTTCATGAAATAAGGCTAGATGCAGTGTATTTCATTGTTTCCATGTATTTGTTCTACAAAAGCACAACATGTCTGTGTGTCACTGACTGCTCTTTCTCCTTTGCTCTCACTCTCTCTCTCTTTGCATATTGTTGTTTGTGTGTGTGTGTATGTGTGTGTGTGTGTGTTCTCACAGGAGGCCTTGATCAGCGCCTGGCTCCAGTTCAGCGATGGCTCTGTGGCTCCTCTAGACCTGTATAATCCTGACTTCTTTGTCCTGACAGCCACCTCCCTAGATGAGGAGATAGTGACAGTGCAGCAGAACCCTTCATGGAAATGGCCTGTCATCGTGACAGAGGCGGAGGGCCAAGGCCTGCTGGTCAGGGTGGAAATGACTGTCTGCGAGGTCTGCCAGAAGTTCAAGCGCCGCAGTATCCTGGCAGCGGGGAACTGCAACGTCAGGGTGAAGTTTGGTCACAGTGACAGCTCAAGGGGAGGTAGCAGCGACTATGGCCCCGATGGAGACGATATGGAGAACAGAGGCAGGCTCTCCCCATCTCAGGACAGGACCGGCCCTGACACCCACTACTATGGCAGCTCCATCTCTGACATGGAGGATGGGGTGTTGAGGAGAGCCACCACCACTAGAAGCGCAATAATGCGCAGACCCAATGGGGATAAACTTTCAGACGATGGTAGCCAGAACATGCCGATTGACTTTGCTGACTTTCCTGCACAAGTGGACCTCCCCCGTGGCCGCAATATAGACGATGACCTCATTCAGACAGCTCGTGGGCTCACAGACCTGGAGATTGGCATGTACGCCCTGCTGGGCGTCTTCTGCCTCGCCATCCTTGTATTCCTCATCAACTGCATCTCCTATACTCTGAAATACCGTCACAAGGAGCTCTCAATCGAGGGCCAGGAGAGCATGAATCACGCTCATGATTGGGTGTGGCTGGGGAATGAGGCAGAGCTGCTAGAGAGCCAAATCAGCCTGTCGCCCCAGCAGGAGGAACAGACTTCCATGATGGACTCCAGCAGCGGGCTCGAGGAGGGCAGCCACTTGCTGAACGGAGGTTCGGCCCAGAAGAATGTGCAGGGCCAAGTCCACCGGGCGGCAGACTCAGGGTGCATAGCCAAGGACAGCAAAGGGGACTCACCCACCACCAAGAGGAAGAGAGTCAAGTTCACCACGTTCACCACCATCCCCTCAGACAGTAGCTACCCCACTGTTAACACACTGACTGGAAGCCACAGCCAGGACATTAAGTGGGTGTGCCAAGACGTGGAGCTGGGAGACTCCAAGGAGTTGCGCAATTACATGGAAAGGTTAAATGACAGTGCTTTAAAAGAGGTGGCATAATGTACTGCGTGCACTTGTAACAAACTCACCCTTATGCCTTTCAGAGGAAAGTGGGTCTGGACAGAAACCGGACCCAGAAATTGACTTCACCCCAAACTGCCAAAGGGTCATTAAATTAAAGAGGATTATCATGATTCCACAAGTGGATAAATATGTCAATAAATGAGGACATCAGTTGGTCCTTTTTTTCATTTGTTTATCAGATGATTACCTTTTTATCATCATTTTATTACTACAGGGTTTAGATAGAATGATCCCAGGACTGATCTGCAGCAACTACAACCTGTAATATTCAGACAACATGTAGATTTTAAAACCAACAGTAACCTGACTAGATAGATGTCCCGAATGTGTGTGCACATTAAATGGTTTTGGAAGTTTTGTAACATTTTGGATATTAATTTCTTTCGCCAGATCCTTATTCTGTGGAAGAGTTCTGGAAAGGCCAAAGCAAGCAACGAGAAATTTCTGCATGTCGATGGAAAAAAAAAAAAAAAAAGGCACAACTTTCCGGTTCATTCTCATCCTCTTTAACACGGCAGAAGACCTGTTATGTATATACCAAACAGTCTCCAAAGCATTGTATTGTTGCTCTGTATATTGTATTTTCATAACATTTAAGAAATACACAACAATGTGAAGAGCGTGTATCAGCTTTTATTGACCGCAGCATCACAAGGCCATTCATTTCTTAAACCCTGAGGTCAGCTGAGGATTGTGGTTCGGGAAGGGGAGCCAATTACACATTCATCTTTGTTAAGAGGATTTTATGAGATGTAATTTACACACAGGCCGCAACACAAGCTGCTCCCCTTTAGTGCTGGCCGGTGGAGGAAGGCAGCAGCCATTAATACCCTCATCTCATCCATTAGAACTCAGTACCCTAACATGACAGCCAGAAGGGGCTTTTAAACTGAAACTCTGGACAACATGGTAATGTGACATTTCCTACTACCACTCCCCAGTTTAAAGTTTTGTAAGCTTTGAAGAAAATGCCAATTAAGGTCTCGTTAACCTCTGCCCCATAGCCTCCATCAAAAGCATACTGATGGACAAACTGGGATGAAGTGTGCTCTCCATCTCTCGGGGAGAGTTTGGATACAAAAAGATAATTACAGGCAAGGTGGGAAATGTTTTCTTTTTGGAAATGGATCTTTTATTATTCAGATAATTGCACAAATAATAATCATCTCTGAAAACTTCCTAAACAAAGGCAGTCGGCTGAAAAATTGCATTTTGCTCAGTGAACGTTATTATCATCACAGTGGTGTTGGCTGATTGCGTTTTTTTGTGTTATTATTTTCCATCAAGCAGAGAAATGTTCACATTATGTTAACTGTTGCTGCAGCGTGGATCAGACTGTTAATCAGCAACACTCACGATATCAGCTCGAAAGAAGGGAGGTGAGATACTTAAGCAAATGGTAGCACTACCTTGAGTGTAATTAGAGGATGCCATTTAGATTATGTCAGCAGTCAGCACTGAATGAAACCCCTCCAGACACCTGTATGAAACTTTAGTGGCTGTTCTACTTTTATTTATCAGTTCAAGAAGCTTGTGTACTGATTCTCTTTCTACTTCCGCGGTGCTGCTGTTAATTCACTGCATGCTGATCCAAGACACTGAATTGACACCACAACAACAACAACAACAACAAAACAACAAATAGATTCCAAATAAAAAAGATAAGAAGCCATGATGAGTTGTAAGATAATTACGAAATAGGTCTTTAGTTAGATGTGAAGATTGATACCAATCACTTTACTGTACAGTAGGCCTAATATAGAGCTACAGCTAGTTGCTGGTTAGCTTAGCTTAGCATTAAGACTGGAAACAAGGGAAAGCAGCTAGCCTGGCTCTGTCCAAAGGTAACAAAATCAACCTTTACTAATACTTTATATCTTGTTTATTCAATTCATTATTCAAACGTTACAAAATGAGTTTTATTCTTTTGTGGTATTTTCAGCTGTGAAACAGAACATGTACCCATATACTTCAGAACATTCCCCTGGGCACTCTCAGTGTCATCGAAAAAAGCTTTCCCAATTCATTGTCCATGGAGCAGCTCCAGACTTTATACATAATGACATCACAAATTAGAGTTCTAGTACTCTAGCTCTTGGATTTGGGAGAGAGTTGTTAGTATTTACTAATATTTTTGGACTGTTTTAGACCATAAAAGGAGAACTATACCCATAGTTCTCCTTTAATTGTGCGGCTCTGCTAGACTTTCAAAAATGTAATCAGATCAAATGACTCAAATCTTGATAGTAAAACGAATCATTTTGTGGGGATTGTGATGCTCATAAAATGTATCCACTGATTTACAGACGACTCTTTCACAATTTAAGTCTATAGAAAAAAGTCTTTTTTGGGCCCCATGGCATCATGTGATGGACCAGGACGGCATAGTTACAGTTTTAACCACTATGTTAATGCTTTGCTTTAAAGCCCAGCGTTCTTCTTGGGGGCTTGGCTGGTTGGCATTTTGTTACCATTGCAAAGAGCCAGCCTAGCTGTTTCCCCATTTCCAGCATAGATTTTAATAATAACTAGATACCGGACATCAGGATGGCGCCTATTCAATCCAATTGAGTTGCTCACCTGGCGCATATGCCAAAAAAGTTTTCTAGCTTCCGGGTTTATTTCCAGGGTATGCAGCTCACTGAATATGTGCAGTAGTGTTTCTCTCACTACCCTGCCTGCAAGCTCCCACTCGGCTCATAGACTTTACATTGTGATGACATCACTGATTTTAAATAGCTTTTCTCAGCTTGGGGAAGGTTTTACATATATAAAACCACCATGGCTCTAAAATGTATGATAGAAAGAATCATAATTGACCTTGTTTGCAGTTCAAGGTGTCCTGTGGTTAGTTTTATGGACGTGTCTTTTACAATGGTGGTGTATGGGGAAAATGCTTTCAGGGCCACACAGGATTTTTTTGCTGCAGTACCGTGAGTGGCCACTGGGAAAAATTTGTGGCAAGGGGGCCTGGTTTGTGTCTGTGTGCTAAAATAAGCTAAGCTAACCATCTGCCAGTGCTAGCATCATCATTTTTTGCATACACACGAGAGTGCTATCAATCCTCTCATTTATCTCATGGCAAAACAGCACAAAGGCGTATTCAAAAAAATTTTAACTTAATATTTTTCTGATTATGGTTGTTCTAAGCCTATTAAAAATATTAGGTTGTAAAAAATATTACAACCTTTAGCATTGCCATTCTACTTTTGAAGACTAAATCCACACTTCATCAGGTTAACTTTTAAATCAGCTTCGTAGCTTATACATTATACATGCATGCCCATATACAGAGGTAAAACCCTGTGTTCACTCTTTCGTCTCAGTTTCTGCTCTGTCCTCAAATGTGTTTTTTTTTTCCTGGGTGCGATCTGCTGTCTCCTATGTAATTTTCCTGCTTCTGTGGCTCTATCGGTGGCTGCAGGGGATTGAAGCGGGGTCCATGTGCAGCCAGCTTGTGCTGTGTGCTGGGACCATAGCTGCTGTGCTCAGCCTGTGGACTGTGAAGGACGAGGAGAGCCAGTGCAGGTCTAGGAGGGATTTAACTGTCAGCCACAAGGGGCATGATTGATGGAGGGCCCTGTGTAATTAAAACACCACTGCGACTCTCTTTCTGTGACCGTCGTCGGTGGCTTCAGCCTCTTCAGGTAGCAGCAGAACAGCCCATTAAAGACCCACCGTCTCCGGCCCCTTGGGCTACGGTTTTAGACATGTGTTCACACCTGCTGGGATGTGGTGGCACAGGAGATATAATGATTGTATTCACATCCATTCTTGGAGCATGGTAACTCAAGACTCATTTTCGTTGGCCTTGATGTCTTGACTTCCCTGAAAGGAAAAGAAAAAGCCTTCCCCAGGCCTCCATCTTAAATGGATTTTTAATTAAATTGATGATGTGAGACCAACAAACTCACACTAATGGTTGGCTGTGCTCCCTGTGGTCCTAATGTGCCGGGTCTGTATTCGCAATTTCCAAATGATTATTCGCTGCTTGATTTATGTTGCTTCCTTTGAATTCATTTTTAAATCAGTTCACAGTAGTTTTACAGCAACTAAACACAACAAACACGCTGTCGCAGAGGAACAAAGGAGCAGCCGACAAGGTCAGCCTGACATTCCGGTCTGACCAATTTTTACAGATGGAGCCGCGGGGAACCAAAGACAACTGCGTTCATAAACAACACCCTCGTGCCAAATCTGTGTCTTGTAAACACAATCTCCCACCTGACCAGTGCACCACAGCGGGAGATGGGAGAACAAGAACACACACACAAATGTTCACACACACACACACACACACACACACACACACACAGGTAACCTGTCTCACTAGCCTTGTATGGTCTCTTTATTGGCTACATTGAGCCGAGCCCCTTACCTCAGTCTTGACCTTATTCTAACCTTGCAGAATTAAGCTGGCGTTATTCTATAGTGTTCTTTTTGTCAACAAACATAATGAAAAAATAAAAGCCTACAGTGAAGGAGTCCATCTCTCAATACTGTATAAATTCCCTTCTCTGTCAGTGGCAATGTGAAGATGTGAATCCTTTTTAAAAATAGGTCACAAATATATTCTTTTATTCTTTTAAAAAATACAGTACTAAGTAATTTCTTAAAACAGCTGGGCACTGTAGTTTTTTGGCAAACGTTACTCAAGGGGGATTTTAAAGCTTGTTTGCAATCACGTGATTGTATGACGCACGAAATTCAGATGGAGGGCAGGAAGTGATGAATCCATGAATGCTGAATTGGAAATCGAAGGAAGTGACTAAAACGATTGGATGAACCTTCAGGCAGCAGGTTCTGTCAGATACTGGAAACTCATGTTGGATGTGATCCATACAAAATGAAGAAAAGTGATTTTTCCCACAACTTTCTGTGGACATGATCATCCTTATAAATTACCTCATCCTGCAGACCTCCTAACATTACTGACATTACACTGCGAGCCGAGGAAAGCGTGCTAGAATCTAGTGAACTATAACTATGGGTCCATGACTGAAACGACTGCCATCTTGTTTCTGTGTGCTTGAGTAAAACTGTCTTTTATATTTCAACTTTGTACATAGATGCACCATTGTAAGGGTAATGTTACTAGGTAACGTTAGCTAACTTTTGCTACTATTTTCTACCCACTAGGTCAACCATTCCCAGAGGTCTCACATCTTAATTGCATCCAACTCAAGGCATGTTTAACACAACGTTGTAATGTTAATATCTGTCGTTTGCTGACCCCACTCCTCCCGACTGTAGACAGAGGGTTATTTTTGTTTTTCTTTTTTTTTACCTATCCCCTTTACATCCTCTTATTTTCGGGACTTAAAGTGGCCTGGAACTGCCGTAAACAGCGCAGATCATAGGCATTTGAGTAATGTTGGTATTCTTTGCCTCCAGTTGCCTGTCCTCCATCCGGATAGAGCACCAATGTATGAAGTCATATGCAAAGAAGCTGTAGAGCATTTGTTGGGGACTACTTCCTGCAGTGGATTAACATTAACAAACACAATTTTGCTCCAGTGAGCATTTACAACAGCAGGAAAGTGTACATGGGTTTGATTCAAAATTAACTACAGTGCCCTTGTTCATTGTAATAAAGTAAAATGTCTCCCACTGTGGC